TCACCCCCAAAAAGTGATTTTTCCGAAGTCTGATTGCAGCCATTTTTCAAGTTGCAACCCTCAACTTTCTCGGGCACTTAGGACCATTTTTCAATCGTAGTTTTTAGCCCTTCTGCCCTCATATGAAAGCTCAAAGACCCAGGGAGTTGATCCTGACAACGATTTACACAATCTCACCATTTTGGGGGCCAAACAATCTCCTTTTTCAAAAGATACTGTGGGGGCACTTTTAATGCTAATGAGCTGGTCAAAATTCTCACTTGAATTAGTGGTCTGCACCCATAAGTAGCCCGCCCTTACCATTTTTATTGAGGTCAGGGGCTCATGGGCAGGAAACCAGTTAGTTCACAATACAAATTGAGGGCGCCCTGCATTTCCACAGGCTGTCACAGTTGACATATGCGTGACAGCGAGGACGAGCATGAATTCTACCGAGAGAAATATACACCCTCCCCAAGGGGGGGGGGGACAAAAGTTAGCAGCTTCATTGTAGCTTCACCCTTTACAGCGAATGGAGATAGCACAATGTAAAGAATGCGCAGCAAAGAGGGCTATTGCTACAACGCATAAAACTAAGATTCATATTAGAAACTAACATTTGGCGTTACAACTTCCACGATGAAACCCAAGAGTGTCATGACAAATCTTTGATGAAATGATATGTTGCTTATATCATTTTGTTCTCTATATACGGAATTCACTGATTTTCGGTACTTAGCAGGTGACCCTTCAGTTTGTAGCATTAAAAGTACCAGATTTGTGACATTAATGACTCTGCACGTATGGGGTGCCACAGCCCATTCGGTAGCTCAAACCCATAATATGGGGAAAAGGCCATAAGAAGAGCAAAGTACCCACAGGTTTGCTAAAAGCCCATTCGCGAATGCCATTAATGCGGTGTCCCCGTCACCCAGGCGCGCATTCCTCAGCTTGACTAGCGCATGATTTTGGTTAGCGCTCCCATTGGCTGATGAGGAAGCATTCAATGTGAATCTCCTGTCTCTTTTGTTCACCGGCATGGGGACACACGTATGTTCACCCCTTTCACTTATTTTGTGCGCATGCGCTAAAATTCGGCAAAGTCGAGGTCATTTTCTGTTGCTTGTTAAAATGGCGACGCCAGCCAGCAAACGACCACACCAAAATCTATCTGCCGAGATCTTCCGCACTGTGTAGACGTTTGTTGAATTTATACCAGAGAAATATAATCAGGCTGCAGATTTTATTTTGTGATGTGTTTCTTGCTAATCAAAAGTGGCATTTGGGAGAAAATGGGGCGAAAGGTCTTTGTGTACGTTACATTTTTGAACGTAAAAAAGGGTATTTTAAACTCAAAAATTTGAATTGTTCTCCCGTTGGTCCACACATGCTGCATGTCCTGATAACTGAAAGATTGTTTGAAAAACGTTACCATGTTATGTTTAGCTACAGCGAATTGTCCTTTGTTAGTTTGATCAATTACAATTTTTGCTCTCTGTCGACCGGTCGGCCATGGTTTACATGTGCACATGTGCAAGTTCATGTACATGTACATGCACTCCATCAACGCACGTAACTGCTACGAACAAATGATTCTCGTGCAAGATATTCAATTCGCAATAACTTGAAAGTACTACCGATGTTTTTATCAGGTCTTAATACACATGACACTTAATTCGTTTGTTTGGATAAACTGGAGAAGTTGTTTTAAATGGAAAAGACCGTTGATGTATTTTCTTTCCAATCTGATCGTGTTTATTTTTTGTAAATATCACTTTTTCAAAATTTGTTTCAATTTTGTGCAACTGGGTTCATATAATACGGTGGTTTAATGTTGTTTAATCCATTTTTAGTTATCAGGATATCTTCGTGCACTTTATTTGTTGGCGTTTTGTTAAATGATCTTCATCCGCAAAAAGAAATGTCGGAACGATGTTCGACGTTGCCTGCCTCGAAGTGATCGATTACTTACGCGCTAGCTCTCAACTAAGCGGTGCACAACGGCATGGGAGTGAACATACGTGGACACCGCAGTAGTGCCTGATTCCTGTCACCAGTCGGTCTGTACGACCATACGACAGAGAGATGATTTTCACAGGATAGGCACTGTGTGCTGCCATACGGGCGATTCACAATAGTGCGTCTCCAAGAGTCTGCAACGCGTTGACCAATTGCGCGCGAAATCTGTCGATCCAATGCACGTTTGGAAAGGGTCGACAGACTACGCACGTTGTGGTTGGTCAACGCGCTGCAAACTCTTGAGTTGTGAAATGCCCGTATTTTATGGAAAGTAAGGCTGGGACTCATTGGTGAAACAGAGCGTTGCATGCTGCATTAAGTGAGCAATTACGTTGTAACAACAATATACCACCATACGTTATAATGTTTTTCAGGGACGGAAATGTGTTGATAAAAGACAGCCTGTTTTCGGACTGGATCTACATCATCAAATCGGTAAGTTGTATAAAATAGGCCAATAGGATGTGATCCCATAGAAATTCAAGTGATCGGTGACGAAGGGTTAAGATAATGATTTCCCCAGCACTTTTTCTCGGCTCACAGCAGTTCTTTATCACATTGGCGGACACGATGCGTAACGCAGGTGCGGGTTCGACAGCGTGTGAATTATTGGTAGTTTCTCTTCGCAACTGTAGTTGCGGAACCTTTTTTGTTGTTGCTTATTATACATCGTGTGGTATTTTGACAAAGAACATTAACTGATTGCTTTCTCTCCGCAGATTTTTGTATGGGCAATTACTATAGATTGTTTCTGCTGGTATAGGCCACTGTCAATGCCATGTCAAGGGATGCAAATCCGTCAATGAGAGGGCAAATTAAACTGCATCATGTGCCAAGTTCACGTGCAAGTAAATACAGGTCTCCTTCAGTGGCGTAACAGTGGGGGGTACGTCCCCCAGCTGAATCTAAAATATCCCCCGGATGCTGCCTCGCCATTTGAAATTTTGAAATGTACATATCCGGTGTACAGCCACAGCTCTTTCGGTGCCCCTTTTTAAGGATGTGTTCACAGCCAGGGTTCCCCTCAGAAATTTCACCCTAGTAAAAGTCGTTGCTCGGTTCAATTTAACGAAAGTGTTGTCTTTTTGAACCGTCAGAAACGAGGTTCTTCGAGAAGTTGCTCTGCGGTGTGGGCTTGTATTCACAGCGCTGTAATTCATATCCAACTGCATGTACCGAACAGCACTTGTTTTTTTTCTATCAGGGGAGCTGCTCTGTGCTAAAAAAGTTGAAGAGGGTCTCGCCGTCCATCCCCAGCCGGCTCAAGCGGAAACCCTCAGCCGTGGTTTGGGGCAATAGCACCGGTCATGATGGTAATCTTTTTCACAGGCAGGGGCCCCGTGGTCATAGAGCCAACAAGTTGAAAGTGTTACAGGGCCAAACCCCGCTGAAAACCAGTCACACACCGTGCGACATTTTGGCTTGTAACCTTCTGTTGTTCGGCAAATGTTTTCTTTTCAAGGTGAAACTCTGCCTTGCACTCCCTATGAAACTCGGCCACATTAAGTCCAACGACACAAAATTGGAAAAAAAAATAGCTGGTGGCACTGGCAACAGTTTGCTAAATGTGTTTTCAAATTGAAAGATTTTGACCGTGAACTGCACGGCTGCGGTAATTAATTATGGTAAAGCATTATTATTGGTATTATTACAAATTATTATAAATGATGTTTATTCAAATTGAAAACATCCATCAGCACTCTTTTTCTGACTTTCAGCACTACCGTCCACAGCAGCCTGCACTACCGAGTTCGTCAACTCTTCCCCCAGCAAAAAGAAACAGAGACGGCACCGGCGCAACCACACCTGGCCCGTGATCACTAGGCGGCCCGGTGGCATCAGGGACGGGCCCACACAAACGGCCGCTGACGACGCCGGGCTGAGGAGCCAACCCGCGGGCAGGGCGTCCCGGGGTATGGCGGACGGGTTTGCCAGAAGATCTCTACAGGGAAACTGCAAGGTGGGAAAAAGAATGGCTTGAGACTGATGTGAATTATGACATGCAGTTGTAAACCTCTACTGGACAGTTTCTCCAGCTTGCACTGGCCTTGACCATTTTATTTTTGAGCATGGGAAGTGGGTATGACTCTAGCCTTTTGACAAGACCAATATCTTGACTGAGCTGGGCAAAGTCGTCCCGTGGAATGATTGGCGCACAAGCAAGAAACCGCGTGTATCATTTTGCTTCGCATCGTTGCTTCAGGCCAAATTCAGAGCCACCAATTTTGTTCATTATTGTCTTTGCTGCTCGGTAAAAATAACAAAATGTCACAAAAGCCTCGTCTTTCACAAGGATAGAATAGCACGCGAGTGGGGTAAGGTTGAGTAGGGGAAAGTGTGGATCCAGAACCATTTTTCTTGGGGGGGGGTAAAATTTGGTTGAGCAGATGAAACATTTTGATTTTTTTTTCGTGTAGGCCTAACCTTTTAGGGCCTGCCTGAGGATTAAGGGATTTTGAGACTCTTTATAAGACTTTCCCCTTCTTTTTTTCTAAAGAAAGTCTTTGTTTGCTCCCTCTTTGTGGGAGGAGGGCGAATGGCCACCCGTTGGCCCCCGGATCCACTTTTGAGTAAGGAAAAGACCGAGCATTGTGCTGGTTTGCCGTTCTCTGTAATGAACAGTAAGCTTCACCGATCCTCAAATGAGTGACTTGCATAATCTACCCAAAATATATGAATACAGGATGGATCAGGATCCGCACCCACTTTCATGCACACGTTACTTAGTTGTTTTCTGTTGTAGAGAGGTGTGTATTTGAAGACTTCTCGAGACGAATCTGGGGTTGCAGCCTCACCAAACGCCGGAAACAAGTCGCACGGAACGGAACAGAAATCAGACGGTATTATTTCCCTTGATGATAGAACATCTCGCTGAGAAACAATTTATGCGGAATGGTTCCTCAGTAGCATAAAATCCTAATCAATTCCTCCACTCTAACAAACTCCAGAAGACAATAGATAGCAACACATTACTGTTGATATCATTAAAGGTTTTGAGGTCACCTGTTCCTTTTTCCCTCTGAGTGAACTATACGACAACCAAAAATTAATCTTAGGAAAAGAACACACGAACGTTTCTACAGCGAAAAGGCTCCACTTGCTGTTACGTATTTGTCATTGATGTAAGAATACGACCACACAATTTTCGGTAAAATGGTCGATTTAGAATTTTGATATTATTATGCACAGATAAAAATTTAGAGGAAGAGAGTAGACCGTTCGTCCAACGGCGGAGGGAATTCCATTCTGATCTTGACAACTCACGAACGGTTTGTCCAACTTTTTATTATTTTTTTTATCTTTTAATCTCTACAACATTTGGAATACAATTTTACCACACAAAGGTGTTACGTGTAATCTGCACATTCACCTTTGCATGCTATAAATCATCTCATTTCTCACTAAACTGTCAGATGGGAATTAAATGTAAGTTTTGAGGAGCTTTTCTATAAATCTTTTACACCAACAGCCGGTCGAAAGGACGGAGGCCGACAGTGACCCTATGTTCGTCGTCGTCCAAGTTCTTACAAAAGGAGCAGTTTTTGTAAGTCCGTATCAAAGATCTGATTAATTTTTTGATATACATGTATACAGTTTTCGTAAAATTGTCCAGTAATGCGAGAATCAATGTAGAAAAGGCTTATTGGCGCTGACCAGCCCCCCCTTAAGAAAATAATCACGATATTAATAAAGCCGATACGGGCAATTCGCAATAGTTCGCCTCCAAGAGTTTGCAACATGTTGGCCAATCACAACTCGCGAAATCTGTCGACCCTTTCCAAACGCGCATTTGTTCGACACATTTCGCGCAACGGGATTCTACAGGGCGTTGCAAACTCTTGGAGGTGCACTATTGTGAATCGCCTGTGTTGTTTTCTCTTAATATATGATGTTCGCTGCATTAAATTCAGGTTACTTACTATCAGTTGGTGGCAATGATTTTCTTTATGATTTTCTTTACGCTCGTGGCAGGGCCTGACCGGGGTTGTGTTCAGCGACCAGCCTAGCCTAAGCCTGGTCAGCAACGGAGCCGAATGCATCGTCATCAACAAGAAATTCTATCTAGAGCACGCCACGGAGGAAACGCTCAGAGGACTGAGGAGAGAGGTGAGCAAGTCTAATGGCAACGACGGTCACAAAGAATCCTAATAAAAAAAAAAAACAACAACAACAAAGACATGCGCAACGCTAGCGCCAGTTGGCGTACATAATTATAGAGCAAAAACGAAGACATGAAAAAAGCGCAAGCCTTGCGTAGCTGATGGCGTCAAAATTGGCAGAAGAGGCACTCTTTTGAGGACCACATTTAGACGGACACTTACATTGTTTTCAATAATTCAAAGCCTTTTCTTCCCTATAAATTCAGAACACAGTTGGAATGCATATGAGTTGAGTGGGCAGGGGATGGGGGACAAACACAGGCACAAGTACAGCATCTGGCTTCCACCACCAACAGGGATCTCATACAGAACTGCAAACTGGAAAAATAACGCCAGACATAAACAACAAAACGCTGCATTAATAACAATCACTAGGCCTACTGCAACAGCAAACATATCACTGACAAGATGAGCATAGAATCCATAGTAGTGGTCACGCATGCTCTACTGGTATATGAAATTTATTGCCAGCAATATAAATTATGTATGATACCAAATTCAGCTTGTTTCATGCGGTGGCTTTGGAGGGTGTTTTGGCAGGAGATTCGTTATTTTTGCATTGTATTTTCACTGGTTTTGCGTTTTTTTTCCTCCGTGATGAAACTGTCCACAGTTTGTCTTCCATGGTAGTAAATGGTGAATTCCCCAGACAGTATGTGAGAATGGCAATTCTGTAGCGCCCGGGATCTGACTTTTCATTTATTGGCCAAACTATGAGAGAGAGGTTTGTGTCTTGGATGAGGGGGACTGTATCTTCAACGTGTTGTATGGATTTCACCGACAGCTTGAGTTCAAAATTGGCATTGCATTTTAAGAAAGTCCTTTTGTTTCATTTGAAATGTTCATCGGAATGAAGCCTTCCTTCAATTCAGGACTCCGATTTAACCGTGCATTGTCCACCAGACGCACAATGTTCTAACCATAATTCCTTGCGTAGGACCATGAGCAGGAATCATCTTTAAATAAAAAAATTAATAAATAAAAAAAAATTCCTTTTTTACAGCTTTGGCTTATATGCATACCCTCCATATTGCCGAACAGCAGAAAGACGAATGGGTTTCTGTGTCTCGTCCACAACCATATTGCTGAATACTAATTCAGGACTTCATATAATGCATAGGTTTTTCAATTGCCAAAAATATTCATTTTTTGTGCACGTTTAGCCGCATGTAGCTCTTGCAGTGTTTCTCCGTAAATCATAAGATACCGCATTGCAATTGTCAATAAATACCATTACAACGATAAATTTGATTAGGTTGATAAGTTGATTAGGTTGATTCTCAGAATCAGGGTGATAGTTACAGCACAAACGGCAGGAGTTGGAAAATGACACATGATACGTCTAAAAATATTTTACGAAAATGTGTTTTTAATTTGACTTGTTTTGTAAAATATGCCAATCTAATTTGATGCGCACGGACAAAAATCATGACTTGCATCGCTGGCGAGAATCACAGTGCAGAAAAACGTGGCACATTTCAGCCGAAAATATTGCAGTCAATCCCTACTGTATGAGTGAAAAGGGTCCCTTTGAATGGTCGGTAAAAGTTGAAATAGGCTCAACCTCTGGCTGCCGATCATTGTGTGCACAACAAGCCAATGCACCAGTGGGATCTTGTCCCGTTTGCAGATCCTCATCCGTCCACAATGACATACATAAACCAGTTCCATGCGTACAAGATGGCGGACAAGATGGAGGAGCTCCGGACGTGAAGCCGTCACACGCGAACTCTGTATTACGACAATATAAATTAATGATTACGGCATACATACTGACGGGGCGTGGATAACAGTGAACGCTTGTAATGCGTGTAGGCCTATATACTTTCGCAATTTTATGGAAATTAGCCCTTACTCTCCAAAAATAAATCAACACAAATAGGCCTATATACTTGTATATTGTCACAGTGTAATAATAAGCCGTCAGTTTTGTTGAGTCCAGAATAATTAGCAACCATCATAAGCCCCTTAAGAATCAGCGAGGTTAATTGAGGCATCGTGTAAATATACACATCCGGCCGCGTACACCTGGCAGCTCAAGGTGAACAGTTCCTCATCAGGGAAGTCGTTGAAACAACAGCTTCGAGAAGTTTGAGCGTGCAGCGCAAAAGACTGCGAGAGGCCTGTGACCTCAGAAGAGGCAATTCGCGGCGTTGAAGTGGGGAGAGAATTCAATGGAGAGGTAGGCGGGTTAATTGAGATGCTCTTGTGCGCTTCATTGTCCCGTTTGACTGGACGTACCTGACAAGGACACGTACGGTTTCCATAGAAGAACCATACGCTCTAATAAAAAACCACTCGATGGAATGCATTAATCACTCGTGATTCATAATGCTTGGTTAGTAATATTCAACGACAGAATAGGAAGGCAGCTTGGTTAACAAAACGACCCTTTGCTCGATTTAATTGATAAACCCCTCAAATTTACAAATTAAACAAAAACGAAAGAAAGAAAAAAACCCAGTTCTGTGTTCAAGCAACAGCAAGGGGATTGCGACACGAATGTGACAGAAAATTCCAAACTGTCCAAACAGTTGAGCAAGAGCTCAAACGCGACAGCTTCAGTGATATTTAGCGGTATTTCCACCTCATTCCAAAAATGGAAAGAGAATAAAAGACGGCACAACAGGGAAAACACATCGGGAAACAGAGTATATTATCTGTACCCTTTGTAAGCATGAAGCCGTTCTGTTCAGAATCAACACTGGTGGTTGGACGTTTGCTGTTTCAGCGGAATTCCTTCGCCTCTGCCCGGTCGGTTTCATGCCGGCACGTGTCACCCACTTTGCAGGTCGTTCTGCCGCCAGCACCGTGCGAGTGCCGTACTTAACCGTGTGCTCGGAGCGTGCAGCGCGGTCGTTCCTCTGTATGAAGCAATGCATTACGGCTTTTTTTGTACGGGTGCCTGCATAAAATTTGTTTCTTCAATTCAGGAGGACATCTTTAGAGGGGACCATGCGATAGTCTGCCCCGTTTATCGACAATTTTTGATACCCAACATGTGCTCTACGGAGCATGCATAAATTAAAATTAAAGTTAAATGAGCATGAAATTAAATGAACTCTGTTCACATTGATCTTCTCATGCTTCGTACTTTTGCACCTTTTGCTCATTTCAGGTGTACGTTTATCGTCGCATACGATGCTTGTGTTGTGTTTCATGTCTTTCAATCTCTAACACCCTATCCGACCTGTAGTGTGGTGTCACTTCGGCTCTAACCACGCACGAGGCACACCGAGTTCCATGGAACCGAAACTAAACCCACAGTTTGAGTCTTCACCCAGTAATATATAACTTGTTCGTGCGCGTGTATGACGACATCACTTACCAGTCGGATTGATTAAAGCAAGATTCATACTTTGCGCGAAAGCGAACACAAACGCGAATTTGTCATGTCAGACGAAAATATCCGCGTTACGAAATCGTAAAGTTGAACACATGTCAACTCATGCGAACTTCGCTGCAAATGCTACATGGCGTCAAATTCGATTCTCGTCCGCATTCGCCTGCAGCACGGTGCACTGGCCTTAACAGGTATCACAGGTCCCGCGAGCGCAAACGATCGGCAAGGCACGTCATTTACGTCTTATGTCTGCACCCGCCTTTTTGTACAATACCATGCCTATTATGTCTGTGTCGCACGGGCCATATCAGCTTCTAATTATGCACGCTCTAACTACGTTTAAATCTCCATGCCTCTCCCCTATTCCACCCCACCCCTCTCCGTAGGAGGTTCCATACCCGAGCGAGGAAGAGTTGCAGAGCAAGCTACAGCAGTATATGAACTGGAACGCATACCGGCATCACACCTTCTACACGACGCTGTACGAGAGCCGAGACCACAAGACAGAGCGAGTGACAATCATGAAGCCAGTTTTGTTCCGGTAACTCGTGCTTCCATCAGCCGCTTGAAGTTTGAATAAGAACGTGAAATCGGAAAATGCTGGATCAGCACGTCAGAGTTATGAACCAGTGACACTTTTTGTGTTTAGTGTAAATTGAAAGGTTTCCCTTTACAACACTATTATAGTCGCTACTGAATCAGGTCGAAACTTGGCAAAAGAAATTAGGGACGATTCAAGTTCAAAATTAATACCATAATGCATATTTTGTTTAACAAAATTATGTAAGTCCAAGTTCCATCATAGCAGAGCTGTACATAGGCCTACTTTGTTTTGGCTTAGTGAAATTTTGATGTTTAATGTTTAAGTTCGTTTATCTGTGTGAAAATCTATCTTTAAATATAAAGAGTAAAGTTTGCTGTTCAGTAGTAATGGACTTTTATGTTTGCAACTAGGTTCCCTCCCATCTTTCCCATTGGAATTTCCAAACTAAGATTTGCCTCTGCTTTGGATGAAAATGAAGTAATTATTGAGTAAAACTCCTTCATTATTAAAAAAAACACACGAACAAGCTGGCCTTGCTTCATTGTTTTCTTTTAGAGTAAATAAGCAAGAACTGTGGATGTACCTATGTTAGAAAGATTGGCCGAACTAGACCATGACGTCATGGGAAAAAAAACACAGTAGCGCCCTAAAAGTACCCGCACTTTTCTCGGCGACAGCATTTTGCCCGCCACGGGTCACATTAAACGGTCCACTGCTTCGGAAATGCGCGTTGATGCATTGCTGGTTGCGGTTCCAAAATGTTTTACGGCCCCTAATGTGATTACAATTTATGCGTGTTTTCTTACCGATGCGGGTAAAAGAATCGAGTATTTTTTAAACGTGAGGGTACATTTTGTAGTCAGTGGGCCTATTAACTTGAATAGCCATTTAGATAAGTGGTGCTTTCTCAATTACTACACCACTGTTGTTAGCCCCTGTCAACAATTGAGGTTAAAAGTCTACTAAAATAAAGTTCAGACCGTTCGGTAGGCAAGCATCACCATCCAAGAAAGTCTCATTAAAATAACTGAACACAAATTCAAAACAAAACAAAAAAGTCAAACCCAAGTAAACGAATAACCAAACCGACAAACACACTTACAAAAAGATAAACAAACCAAAAAAAAAAATTTAAAAAAACCCAGTCACTTCAAGTAAGATTGTCGCTAGCTCATCTCGCTCACAACTTTCAGAGATGAAGTTAGATTACCTCAAATAAGTTACTTCAAGCACTGTCACTGTCACAATTTAAAGAGCTCGCACATTTGGGGCGCGAGATACTGCCATTTCAGTTATTCGAAGTCTCCAATTGTCAAACTTGTAAGAATGTGCATGTATGTAGTTTTGCTTCAAGACATTATCTTGATCTGTAGTAGAAACGTCCACATTTTATGAAATAGCATCTCGGTTTACACGTACATAAATAGACCAGGTCAATGGTTGGGATGATCGTAGGGCTTGAAGCTGACAATTACAAGAGGAACAGCAAGATTAATAGTTTTTACAGAATGTGCTTCGGTGATTCACTCTTCCTTCTTCGTTTCGAAAAAGAGAGAGAGAGAGAGAAGGAGATGCAGAAACTGAGTGTGTTCAATTAGTTCACAGTTATGTTTATTAGATATAAAGCACTTAATCTGACACACAAAGCCCCAGAAAAAAGGCTTATTTCCCACCAGGAACAGAAAGATGAACGAAATTTATATCGACAAAAATAGGATTTCTTGAGTTTATACAGCACATCAGGCACGCAGTAGTGTTTATCGACATTTGAGTTGCACCGCGCAACATTTGTAGAAGAAGACCCGTTTAAACCAATTCCCGGCAGTCAAACACAATGTCGACCACAAACTGCTCAATAATTTGGAAATAAGTCGTTTGCCTACTTTGAGTAAACATACCAGCAATTATTGTGAAACAGGACCCTTATCAAAAGAAGAGCAAAGTTACAGGATTCCTCAACCCGCATCTGCGTCAGTGTAATAGCCTTCAAGTCTCATTAAACAAAACTTATTGTTCTCGTAAGTTGATTATGCAACTAATTACACGAGAAATTCGTCAAAATGGTTCACGCTTTAGCACTTTCAAAACAAATGAAGACAAGCCAAATTATTTTATTTAAAATGAAATGTAATTTTCCAGCTTAATTAACGGAAGAGCATTTTTACGAACCTCGGCTCCCGAGTTCGAACTTTATACTGAAATTAAAGCCAGGAAAACGTGTATACATGAATACTGTAATAATTCTGAAATACGCTGGAGGGAGTTCTCGAAACAATACCTCTTCTTTTCACAAATTCTTTCTGAACATGGTGAACTTTTTGCCGCCCATAAACGAAAAAAGCTCCGGTTCGGATTTGCGAAAAATTTTGAAGGGAGCTATAGCTCTCAATTTTGTCGCGAGAGCCTGCGGGAAGTAGATTTCAAACTCTCAGATTGCCATTTTTTTCATCGTTTTCTAAATATAAAAATGGAAAAAAAATGAAAGATACAACCTATTTCGACCGCTAGCCCAGAATTTAAAATGTCCTTTCATGTTACAAGAAACTTTGGACCATCGTTTGGCTCAAAGGGGAGACAGTAAACTTTTCGTTGGATCAAGTTAACTTTACAATGAAGTGGAATCTACGGTTCTTCGGTTGGAGTAATCACACTACATGAGATCATGTTGTGATTTGTCACTTGTAAAAATTGAAAAGAAAGGTTCCCCGGTAGAAAACTTGTCGTTTCAAATGACACGTGCCAACCACTCCAGTTGGAATACCTTCAAAATGTGACATACGCTGGGTCAACGAAGACATCGTTGCTGAACTTTTGATGGAAAAATTCCGAGGGGTTGAAGAGCGCGCCGTAGTCTGCCTCGGTGGACACGTCGCAGGTGGGTGCTGGCGATGGATGAACGCTCCGGCAGGCAGAATTCCCACTGTGCGCGTCATCGGACGGCGACAACTGGCAGTCAGCATACTCCGCCGGATTCCGCAGAATGTCCTCCAAGGTCCGGATGTAGTTCTGGGCGAAGAGGAGTGTGGAAATCTTGGACAGCCTCTGGCGGTGGGGTCCTCGCTTGGGCCTCTTGATGGGCAGGACTTGCCGGAGCTGCTCAAAGGCGTCGCACAGCATATGCATCCTGTCCCGTTCCCGCTCGTTGATGCGGTCGCGGCGCTCGCTGGTGGATCGCCGGCCGTTGTGGGTGGTTCGGGTCCTGCGACAATTGTCGCTGTCCCACCTGGCAGCGGTGGTGCCGGTGGAGTTGGCGCCCCCGTGATACCTGGGAGCGGCAGACTTGGCGCTGGGCACCTTGTGTCGCCGTGGGTGCGACATCTTGCCGAAGTTTTCCGACCCGCCGCCTGGCGAGCCGATGAGGCTGCCGTTGACAGCTTGCGTATAAGGTGTGTGCGCGTGGAAAGGAACCTGATAAGTGTCCTGCAAGATAGTCAGAGTGGAGTCTGGTTGGTCGTACATGTCGAATTGGGACCCGTCGTTGGGGTGCTGGGCACTGGCTGCAGTGTGGAAGAAATCGTCATCGTTAGGTTCGACTTTGAGTTGGTGGTGATCAAGGGAACTCATCGCTGCTCGCGACTCGGTGGTACTTAAAGAGTCGAACCAAACTCCTTTGCTGACTGTTGTACTTGTTCAAGCGTTTGCAATGGATGAAATGTAGATTAAGCACTAACCGAAGCAAACTGCAACCTATCTGCACTTATGTGACTTTCAAGTGGCACAAATTACTGTGGAGTTAAACTTCTCGCAGCTTCGGGTCTTTGGCCAACCACGGTTGCATTCCAAGTCTTGCCCAAAAGCTCAGCTAACAACCGTCAGATAATAATGCGCAGTATGGAATGAATCCGCCGGTAAGCTGACAATACTGTGACCGTAGATTTACTGGCAGGATTTTCCCAGGCCGTTCAACATCATCATGCTACCTGTAACAATCCTAAATGAAATTTGTAATTAACGCAACAAACAAACTGCTGTCTACATGCACGGCGAGATCACTGGCTGAAACAGAAATGGGCGTGACTAAATCATTATCAATGGCCTCCGTTAATGGTGGGCGTGACCACTGGATGCGTAGGCCGAGTCAATGAACATTGTCTAACATAGTCCGTATGGGTGGCGTGTTTTGCATTATTAATCTCTGACTTCGCCACATTTGCAGGTATTTTTCTCGAAAAACAAACAAAAAGGTTAAACTAAATGATATTACATTCTATCCATCGACATCGAATAGCATGTGTGGAAGTGATTTGTCCATTTTTTTTTCAAAAAAACAAATTTTAGGCCGAATTTCTACTTTTTATTGCTTAGCTCGCACGTGCATGATCCTGTGACCGGTGCTAGTAGGCCAGTTCAGTATTCCAATAGCGCATGCTCAAGACGTGTGACGTATCTGGTGTGAAATTGGGGAGAGTGGGAACCCAGGGATGCACACAATTTTTACAAGGGAGGGGGACAGACAGTGTGAACTACAACTTGCACATAGGTTGTGTTCTTTTTCAAAATTTGGGGGAGGGGCACAAGGAGATTTGTTAAATTCTTTAGGCTGCCTGGTTTTATTTCTTCTTGACCTCATTACGGACAGAATTCGGTTAGCAATAACAAACAAAACCAAACAAAAACGCAGGTTTTTTCAGGCTACTTCGGTTTCCTCCTGCCTCTAAAACTGGACCTTTCCCTATCTCCGTAATGTGATGCTGATTAATAAAGGTCACGAATAAAATGGATTAATTTTTCTGGCTGTAAATATTTTGTTTTGTTATTGAAATGTTTTCTTTTAGTGTTTTGTTTAGTGAATCTTTTTAAGTAAATAATGTATGTCTTGTCAAAGTTGAATTTTTGTACACCGAAACAATTGCGAGGAAATAAATGGAGTTGTATGACTCCACCACAACGAGGAAAAAAATAACAAAATAAACGCATAGTTATTTGCGCAAACAGCCTGAGTAGCTGAAAGTGCCATTAAAACAAAACAACAACGATAGGACTCACTCCAGCGTTAGCTTCCGTGGTGGAAAGATCAGCCCATTGGTGACCGGTCTTTTCTTTTTCCTACGCATTGCTTCGTCGCCGTACTGAACCAGGGTTGGAAGTAGTACACAGCAAATAGGTGAGCTACAGGTGATATTGCTTTTCTATTTCATTTATATTTGTTGGTTGTTCACCTAGGTGGTTTTTTTATTCTTTGTAAATAAATATCTAGCAAAGTTAGCCACAGAAAATCATTTTTTTTGGAAAGAAAACTTCAGCAGCACTCGTTAATTTGGTGATCCAGGCGTTCGATCAATCAGTGCATACTTACTGGTATGCCTACACAATCTTAGCACTTGCTAAACACCCCCACAATGCCGCACCCATACTTCCTTGACTTAATTGTGTGAAAAGGATTAGCCCGTTGTAACGCACCTCATCTCACTCACAGATCTCACTCGTTATTTAGAATTCGAATGTGCAAATCATGATGGTTCTAGATAATTTGAGGACAGTTCAGTAGACAGTAGTAGTAGTAGTAGTAGTAGTCGGGCCGTCTTATCAGACGATGCCGGCATTAGGTGTCTCAACAGCACGGCGTGACTGCGTGTACGCCGTTCCTCCTCTCGGTGGACCCAAGCCCCTTGAACCCGTTTTGCCCCCTGTTGGATTGGGGCCCGCCATGTCTGACGATCTTGGGCTGGACGTTCCCAGTCTGCTCGGAGACCGGCAACACTAATGTTGCGTTTCAACACGTCTTTGCAGCGAAGCAGGGGTCGTCCACGATTTCGCTTCCCCAGAGACAGTTCGCTGTATAGAAAGGCCTTAGGGATGCGGTCATCAGACATACGTAGGACGTGACCAGCCCAACGAAGTTGGGCCAGAATGGATTCAATGGAAGGCATGTTGGCTCGTTTTAGAACTTCAACATTAGTGACTTTATCCCTCCAGGAGATACCCATGATTGTGCGAAGCTGCCTTAGCTGGACGGCGGAGAGCCTGTTTATGTGCTTTCTGCAGAGTGTGTAGGTTTTGGCCGAGTAAAGCATTGCGCTCAATACCACAACCGTGTATACCCGACATTTTGTGCTGAGTCCAATGCCACGCTGACTCCAAAGCCGGTCTTTCAGACGTGAAAACGAGGCAGCGGCAGCTTTTATCCTGCCATCAAGCTCAACATCCAGGGTGTTTCCCACCGTTATGGTGGAGCCAAGGTACTAGGTACGATTGTACCGCGTTCAGTGGGTTCCCGTCCAACAAAATGGCAGGTTTCACGGGGGGTCGATCAGGTGCATGTTGGTACAGTACCTCAATCTTCTTGATGTTAATGGAGATTCCAAAAGCTGTAGACAGTACAGAGTTCATTTATCCTGTTGATGACAAATCACGAGATCCGAGCACAATCACATGAATAGGTGGCACAGTGGACCCACATTCTGGCGGTGGCCGCCATCACCACAATGTTTCCACAACATGTTTTGGTTTGCTGCTCGCTCATAGCGGCCGTGGCCGGGGTCCAAGCCCGGAACGAGCCCAACTGGGAGTCTCTGGACGCCCGGCCGCTGCCGTCCTCGTACGACGAGGCCAAGATCGGCGTGTTCTCCCACTGGGGCGTCTACTCAGTGCCTAGCTACGGCTCCGAGTGGTTCTGGTGGAACTGGCAGGCGCTCTGCTATCCCGGCTACGTCAAGTTCATGCAGAAGACCAGGCCGTCAGGGTTCACGTACCAGGACTTCGCTGCTGAGTTTAAGGTCGAACTCTTCGACACCGAACAGTTCACGGACATACTGCAGGCTTCAGGGGCCAAGTACAGACTTTGCCACGTGTGTTTTTTTATTACTTTATCCGTCTTCGTTTTCTGCAACGTCCTAATTCAATGATTCTCGACCCATGCAACTATAGTCCGATGATCTTTGAAAATAAATTGCCATCAATAGTGCTCTATAGCACATTAAAAAGACTATATAATGGGAAGCATAAGTTTCAGGTTTGGAAGGAAAAGATTACATTCAGCGAACTACGAAAAATGTAGGCAGTTAAGAAGAGACTAAGAGAACCCATCCAAGGAAGGATTAAATGAAGGCATTATAAATATTTGCCCCATCCCCGAATACGTAGTTCTAATCCAACTCTGGATTGCATTATTGGGAAGGTGAGGAGAGAAGTGAGGTTGCTGCATTTTTTTACAATCTGCTTTCTTTATTCACTCACAGTTACTTCGTTCTAACCAGTAATCATCACGAAGGTTTCACTGATTGGCCCTCCAAGTATTCCTGGAACTGGAACTCCATGGATGTCGGTCCCAAGAGAGATCTAGTCGGTAACGTTTTTCACCATTTTTGCATCTTTCATAGAGGCTTGCGTATACAGTGTACACATTAAACCATTCCTTTGTGCATGGTTAAACGAATCGAACTATGTTTATAGTTAGTTGGTCAATGTCATCGATAATCACAGGTGAAGTGGCAGCAGCGGTGCGCTCAAAGACAAATCTCCGCTTTGGACTTTACCACTCCCAATTTGAGTGGTTCAATCCACTGTATATTCAGGACTTAAAGCACTTGTTCACAACAAACGACTATGTTACGGTGAGTGGGATGTCCTACATTATTAAACAGTGTTCAACCAATCCATTCCTGATGCAATTTTGATGAAGTAAGGATTTTATCATTACTTGCTCAGCCTAACCTACCTTCCTCCTTTGCTGGGGAAAAATTTAATAAATGTGTAGAAAGTCTACATGCCGGAATTGATGGAGCTGGTCGAGACGTACCGCCCGGAGCTGGTCTGGTCAGACGGGTCGGGAGAGGGTGTCTACCAGTACTGGAAGAGCACAGAGTTCCTGGCCTGGCTTTACAACGATAGCCCGGTCAAGGACAGTGTGGTGGTCAATGTCAGGTGGGGTATCTTGTGCGAGTGCAATCACGGGGGCTACTATACCTGTCAAGATCGTTACAACCCCGGTAAGGAGGATGCTCATTTTAAACTTACTACCGCCGGAAAGCTAGTGACTTTATATATGTGTCGGCACGGTGCTCTCCTGTGTCGCAAAAAACAACCGTTACATACGAAAGCAGACGTTCCTCGGTGGACAACAGGTCCTCGGATGGAAACCGTGAACAAATCAAGTCAAGTCAAATCAAATCAATCAAGTCGAGATACTAAGGTGTTATAAGAAGGGCAGCGGAAAGTCCTCGGTGTCTGCCATAAAAGACAACAAAGTGTTTTGCGTTTGGTGATTTTGCTCCCTCGTCAATACATGTAATGACGAACGGCGATGGGCTTGTAAAATTTCATATTATATCGACTCAAGTATACTAGCCCCGCCTTTTCCAGGCAAAAATGCTTGGATTAACAGTTACTTTATTGCAAAATCTATATATTACCGTTTTATAACAACCAACTTCCACAGTATTTCATAAAAGAAACAGGTACCGCGTATTCAGGAGATGACTTGAGATGCACTGATCCACTGCAGCAAAGCCACACAAAAGTTTAAGACGTTGGTTTCCAAAACAACGTTCTGATTTAGCCAATCAGAAGAAACAAATAGTTGTACATTAAAATCATAGACAAAAATGAGCATTTCTTTTGAAAACAAATCAGCTGTCTTCAGTCCAAATCTGTTTTTTTTTTTTTACCTCTGAAGGTGTTCTGCAGAAGCACAAGTTTGAGAATGCCATGACCCTCGATTTGTCCTCTTTGGGCTACCGTAGAGATGCGACTCTCAAAGATATAATGGACATCGACGTGCTGATTGCCACACTTGCACAAACTGTCAGGTAAAAGGGCACCGCCCCCTGTAGTTTATGTCCTTAAAGTTCGTACGCTTACAATTTTCAAACGTACAAGGCCGACTGACCAATCAAGTAATCGATTCCATAACTTTGCTATGTGTCCCAGTTGCGGCGGCAACCTCCTCGTGAATGTCGGCCCCACCCGCGACGGTCGCATTGTGCCGATATTTGAAGAGCGACTACGTCAGATGGGTGCCTGGCTGAAGGTCAACGGTGAAGCAATTTATTCGTCCAAGCCCTGGAAGGCTCAGAAAGATGTAAAGACGGAGAGCGTTTGGTAAGCAGCGACATTTATTGACACAAAAACTATTTTGACTGTCACGCATGTACTTATTTATCCAAATATCACGCTTCTGATACTTTTTAAGAGTGATTTCAGTATTGTATTATCTCTATAATAAGCATGGCTTTGTCTGCATATCTCCTTTTGGATGAAAGTGGTGTTGCATTGTGGAACGGTGTATACAGAAAGCACAGGGGAGTCTTTATCAAGACTCCCCTGTGTTTTCCCTTGTGCTGAGTTAAATTTGAATAAAATCTGGTACACTGTGTTATCTGATTGCACAGAAACGTAACAATTTGAATTCCCCAGACTAAAGACACTGTTGCTTTACCTCTTGATTCGGGGCAAGCTTTTGCATAGCGACCACCATCTCCGGAATGGACTGGTTCCTTTGTGCCGTTCTTATCTGTTGAGAACAGTGTATTGTTGCAAGGCGTCTCCTATGTAACTAAGCAAAAGCTTGCCCTGAATTAATCACAAGGTATAGGCCGTGTCCGAAACGGGTTTCCAGAGCTACGGGCTAGGTCTATATATTATCTGCGCGTCTCCACGCATTTCCAATGGAGCGAGGACCTACACCTAGCTCTAGACAAGAGATTCGGATGCAGCCATAGCAACAGTGGCTTTAGTATGGAGAATTTATGCTGTTATGTTCACGTGAATTTAAATAACTCTGTGTACCAGATTTTATTCAAATTTAACTCGCAAATGGCTTATTCTTGCCACCTTTCTGTCTCAGTGCAACATGTAATTTGATCGTTCACAAGTCTTTAAATAGACCCGCTCGCTGCACAGTCTTAAAATGTCAGTAAGGTCTCTCTGAAAAAATTCTGCTCCTTGGTGTGTATAGGTATACCTCCAAACAGAATGAAACAGTCACGGCTGTGTACGTGATCGTCTTGGATTGGCCTATTGACAATGACATCATACTTGGCTCTACAATGCCGACCAATCGGACGACCGTTTCCGTGCTCGGCCACGAAGGGGCGCTCAAGTGGACACGTGGACCATCTGGGGAGGGAATGACGGTTACTCTGCCCATCCTGAATCCAACACAGATGCCTTGCCACTGGGCATGGGTTCTTAAAATCCAAAATTTAAAGTAACCTGTCATGGAAAAAAATGCCACCAACTAAAGAACAGACAATAAAAATGACTAAATGTTGAAATTGATGTTAAGCGAATAATGCAGAATCACAAGCAGAGTATAAAATAAACTGTACAGAATATTGCATGTCCACGAATGAATGGTTTCACCAGTTTAGCCAAAAGTTAGCATTAATACATGCATCAGTTGATGAATGTTTTATTTAATTTCTATCATATAAAGCCTTCACACAAATATGATCATTGATAAATGTTCTTGGATCTCAACGAAAGAGATGGTTTTTTTTGGTAATTTGTAATAATAAATTCCAGTAGCTACATAAATAGATTGTTTGAAATTAACTGTTATATTGCAGCTGTTATTTCTTGGGTAAAGCAACATCCCATAAGATAAGTACACTTAGTCTAGTAGTTTTGTACACACAGGAGGAGGATAATGCTTGATGGGCTCATTCCATACAAGAATTCAAGTACTGACCGCGATATCGCATTGTAAAAGTACTGTAATTTTTCATCCACTTTTTCTTTTCGATAATGAAGGCAACTTATTTTGCCGCTGTGGAACTTCCATTGGGCTCAGTTTAAAAAAGTGGCTGAACATTCGACACCATCTACAAAATGCATTCAACCTGCATTAATTTTCGCGTTTCCAAAGTCTGTCGACAAAGAGGACGCCACGGTCAGAAACTGCATACAGCTGCAGGATATCCGCAATAAAATCGTAAGATCCTGATTAATGAGCACACTATGCACTGTTTTAATATCAAATTATTGGAAATAAGCAATTGCATCATTGAACTGCCCTCACCGCCCCCGACAAAATAAAATTTATCTGAGGGAACTTTTCGAAAGAGGAAGAAATTAAGTTCTATTTTACACAATAGGCCTGCTGAAAGAAAAATCATCTCAGCGGGAATTTTTTTCATCACATTAGAAATTATGTGGATTTGAGGGCAATATGATGGCTGTATAATATCTACAGCTGTTTACTGCTGCAGTTGGCAAGCCAGTGTCTATAGTTTCTAGCAACAGTCCATCACCAGGTTGTCCATCTTGATAACCCACGCCCACTGACATGGCAGCTGAGCCTCGTTCAGGGCGGGCAGGGTGATGTTGAGTCCCTTACCCGATGGCAGAGAGCGCCACTGCAGCGGCATACTGTAGCCTAGCATGGACACCTTCGTGTGGCCCGTCTTCCCCGTAGGAGCGCCCAGGTCCAGTTCGTTATTGGCCGGCCAGTCCAGCACGATGGCGTAAACAGAGCCTTCCTTTGTGGTATACCTAAGTTGAAGGGCAGAGATGTACACGATTATAATCGTAGAAGAAGACGTTTCTCTATCGGCGCAGACTCTGCAGTTTTGTGATCGTCTTGGCCTGCTCGTAGGAAAGGCTTTTCCTTCACGTGGGCGGTGCTAGAGCAAAGTTATCCGAACGACCGGAAGCGCAGTGAAAAAAAGATTTCAAGAGTGAAGGTGATCGTCTGGAAAAAAAAATCAGGACCTTGGAAATCCGAAAAAAGTTCAGGTGCATGTGTGGCTGTTGGGTTGGATTGAGGCCGGATAGATCACGAAAAAGATGTAGAATTGTCTACGGAAGTTGTTTAGTAAGTCCACTCAGATGAAAAGTCCTTCTTGTGAAAAAATGAATTGTTGGCCCTTTGCCGACAGCCTGTGAATACCGACTAACCAAACAGAGCTGCCACTAGTTAGCCTCCCATCTAACCTGTACAGAACGCCCCTACTGTCGGCAGGTAGGCTATAGACTGATTTTGCTAGAATTCCATGGATTGTCAAGAGAATATAAACCACTTTTCCAGTCAGCAGTCTACTTTCTTGTAGGTTTGCAAAGGGGACGTTGAACGTGTGATCGATTCATGTACAGCGTTGACGAAATACGGTATGGTTCGGCCTAACTCCAAAATTTGACAGAATGCCTAATCGGTCCGGAATAGGGCAATTTATACGATCTGTCCTTCGTAAAATCTGTAACACAGGGCTCACCATACGCCTGGTGTCATGGTGTCATTTTGTGCAACCCAAGGCTTCGTCGAGTAGACAGCTTCGCCGTTGACCTTCAGCCAGGTACCCATCTGACGTAGTCGCTCTTCAAATATCGGCACGATGCGACCGTCATGGGTGGGGCCAATGTTCATCAGCAGATTGCCGCCACAGCTGTGAACAGAATAACCACAAAGTAATTTTTCATTTTGTTGAAAACCCCACTGCTACTTGAATTGTTAGAGTACACGTAGGCCAACTTCTGTTTGAATTGTCCATTGTTTTTATTTACAGATCTAAGGTAGACCGAATCCAAATCCCCAGTTAAGACAATTCCATTTTCACACTCAGAGTCTAATCTCAATGATACCTTGATTCTGAAACCCATCCTATTACCACTCAACTCA